ATAGGATATCCTATGCTAAATAAAAAACTGATACTTCGCGCACTATTGCCTGAATAAAACATTTTTATTGTTGCTACTTTCACTTTAACTCCGTACATTTTTTAATTAACTGTTTTTTACACAGTAAATCCCAAAATAAAAATTTTGGCAATTCAAATATTGTCAAATATCAGAAACATCAATATGACCAAACGCAACACGTCATACACATTCTTGCACTGCGTGTGGCCTGACTTTTAGGGGTGGCCTAAAAAATGTATTATATTTTTGCAAAATTTTTGGAATACGTTTAATTCGTAGACAAATTTTAACATTCGTTTTCCATACAGATTTCAGTTCTCTACAAATAGTGTCCGATAACTTTTGGTGTGAAATAATTAGGAAAGTAGGAATTCAACAGCTTCGGAAGTCTCAATTAATAATAATCATACGTTGGAGGCGAAAATATTTATCAAAAATACGAGATTTCAGAAATTATACTTTTTGGGCAAAACCTAACTAAACGAATGTTATACAGTTATAAAGATATCGCACCTATTCTTGTAAGGCGTTTTTAGATGCACTATCTACGGGAATATGATCCCGCTTGTTTTTCTACAACCTGATTTCTTTCACTCATTTTTATCAATGATAAGTACAAACGTGAAAAACACATCGGAAAATATTTGAAAATTTACCACTCATTAAGAAAATGTTTCAGAACACTTTAGATCATCTACTTGTATTTGACCTCCTTTAATGAATATTCTATTAAAATTTGAAAAATAAATATAAATGATTGCCTATCTTGACACTTAAGACATAATAATATATACGTTCAGCAACAAAATTGGTGTACGGATTCGGTTCCATTTTAAATGCAAATGAGCCAACTTGGTTACAAGGCAATGCCATGCCTTCTCTCGTCGCGCGTCGTATATAGCCAATAGAAAATTCAGGGTTCAAATAGGACACGCCATTGTCTGAGCTCGGAATGATTGCGGCTGGAGCTGATTACTGTCACTTTTTCTGTATAATATAGTATATACCATGGACACCAACCACCCCGCGAGCTACACTCAGTCTATGTGCCGATGACACAGCAATAGCAGAGATGTTTGGATATAAACCCAGCAAGAAAATGCCTACAACAAGCGCTAAATCAGTTGGAAGATTGGTGCACTCACTGGAAAATCGTACTAAATCTAGAAAAGTCACAGGCAGTCATATTGTGAATGTGAATGTAAGCCAAAGTACTCAAAACGTTGCGACGAACTATCACATCCAAAAGTTATACTATACCAAAAGACTAAAGAAAAGGCTAAATTAATGGAGGAAAGGAGCAAGAGGTAACGAAGGTAACTACTATCAGCCTGGGTTTGCAGATTAAGGATAAATTGACTTTAAACGCATTTTTCTTCAAACATATTTTTTTCGATACGCGTCGTAAAATTATGAGAAAACTATTCGGTCAATTCACTTCAATTTTTGCATATATCTTTATAAACTAGTGAACTGGAGATACCCTATGTTTACAATAAAAACATTTTTGTCCATTTGGGAGCCACTTTTTCATTAAAAAAAAAAGGGATCATCACACCTGCGTTCAAATGTGCACCAAATCATTAAATTTTTCGAAAGAAAATGCAAAAAAGTATTTTTGAAGTGTGTATATTTTAGGCAATTCCTAGCTGAGCGCTTTCGGCTTTACAAAGCCATCATCAGAGCTATGCTACAATAAAATGTTCTTATAAGTACTAATTGGTAAAGATTATAATTTTTAACTTACGTCAATTTTTTAAATACCACTACAAAGGAGAGATCTCATTTCCTTAAATTTCAAAATTATGATTTTTTTAGTTGTTGAAATTCTTAAAACATATAAAAAACATATAAAAAGCCGACACTGGACTTCACAAACACGTTAAAAAAATTTTTGTCATATATAGGAAATAGAGATTGTTTTTAAATTACTAAATTCACTCAAGTCATTGCTCAAGGTCAATGTATGTTCAATCTGACAGCCATCCTTAACAAACAAGGGCTCAAATTGTTCAACAAAAATATAAAGAAGAAACATTTTATTAATGTTACGTTATCTGATACTTAAGTGTATTGAGAATTGTATCTCTTGATGTAAAATTGTAAGAAATTTGCATAATTTTTTTTTTTTTTTTTAAGAATGTATTTTCATGTTTCAATTAAGAATAACTGTCAAATGAATTACAAAATGTTGTAAATTTCTAATAAAGTTTAAATTTGTTTAAAAATATAAAAGTATGAAAACTATATAATAAGATTGCATGAGGTCACCCTTCTTCCTCTAAAGTCTCCCATAATAATTTAAAAAGAGTTTATAGTTGCAATTGAGGTTGATTTATGTGTTTAAGCAACAATCAGGGTTTAGTTTCATTTCTTTGGATATCTCTAGATCTTCCAAGAGATTCATGAGTCTAAAGTTTTTATTGGGAATGTTGTGTAAGATTTTACTGTTTTCAGAAGGAGAAAAGGAATGATTATTAAATTTAATGTGATATTCAAAGTTTGATTTTTCTGGGTTATTGAGGTGTTCTTTGATTCAGAGTTCTCATTGTTCTACCTACATAAGTCATATTACAGTCACCACAGGACAGCTTGTAAATACCACTTCTGTTTAGTTTGTCAACTTTGTCTTTGGTCTTGCTGAAGATGGACTTGATGTTATATTTGGTTTTAAAGGAGATGTTTAAGTCACTAATTTTATTAACAAGTACTCTTGAAATTTTTTTCTGAAATTGGTCCTAAGTAAGTTAAGGATCTATATATGGAAGTAGTGTTGGATTTTTTATCAACATTAAAAGCTTGGTTTAGTCTCTTTTTGAGTATAGATTTTCTAATGACTTTATCAACAGTTGTAGAAGGAAAACCATTGTTGTTTGCTATTTGTTTAATGATGGAGATTTCTTTATTGTAATTTTCTTGAGACATAGGGTTATTAAGAAGTCTGTGGACATAACATTGAATAGCTGCCATCTTGTGTTGAAAAGGGTGATTTGATGATGTTGGTATCATATGGTCAGTTTGAGTAGGTTTTCTGAATATTGAAAATTCTAGTGTAGGCAAAGAAGAAGAGGAGGAAGCATTCTTTTTGATAGTTAGGTCTAAAAAGTTGATAATGTTGTTGCTTTCTACTTCTAAGGTAAAATTAATTGCAGGATGCAGGATTTTACCTTAGAAGTAGAAAGCAACAACATTATCAACTTTTTAGACCTAACTATCAAAAAGAATGCTTCCTCCTCTTCTTCTTTGCCTACACTAGAATTTTCAATATTCAGAAAACCTACTCAAACTGACCATATGATACCAACATCATCAAATCACCCTTTTCAACACAAGATGGCAGCTATTCAATGTTATGTCCACAGACTTCTTAATATCCCTATGTCTCAAGAAAATTACAATAAAGAAATCTCCATCATTAAACAAATAGCAAACAACAATGGTTTTCCTTCTACTACTGTTGATAAAGTCATTAGAAAATCTATACTCAAAAAGAGACTAAACCAAGCTTTTAATGTTGATAAAAAATCCAACACTACTTCCATATATAGATCCTTAACTTACTTAGGACCAATTTCAGAAAAAAATTTCAAGAGTACTTGTTAACAAAATTAGTGACTTAAACATCTCCTTTAAAACCAAATATAACATCAAGTCCATCTTCAGCAAGACCAAAGACAAAGTTGACAAACTAAACAGAAGTGGTATTTACAAGCTGTCCTGTGGTGACTGTAATATGACTTATGTAGGTAGAACAATGAGAACTCTGAATCAAAGAATCAAAGAACACCTCAATAACCCAGAAAAATCAAACTTTGGATATCACATTACATTTAATAATCATTCCTTTTCTCCTTTTGAAAACAGTAAAATTTTACACAACATTCCCAATAAAAACTTTAGACTCATGATCTCTTGGAAGATCTAGAGATATCCAAAGAAATGAAACTAAACCCTGATTGTTGCTTAAACACACAAATCAACCTCAATTGCAACTATAAACCTCTTTTTAAATTATTATGGGAGACTTTAGAGGAAGAAGGGTAACCTCATGCAATCTTATTATATATTTTTCATACTTTTATATTTTTAAACAAATTTTAAACTTTATTAGAAATTTACAACATTTTGTAATTCATTTGACAGTTATTCTTAATTGAAACATGAAAATACATTCTTAAAAAAAAAAAAATTTATGCAAATTTCTTACAATTTTCCATCAAGAGATACAATTTTCAATACACTTAAGTATCAGATAACGTAACATGAATACCATGTTTCTTCTTTATATTGTTGTTGAACAATTTGAGCCCTTGTTTGTTAAGGATGGCTGTCAGATTGAACATACATTGACCTTGAGCAATGACTTGAGTGAATTTAGTAATTTAAAAACAATCTCTATTTCCTATATATGACAAAAATTTTTTTAACGTGTTTGTGAAGTCCAGTGTCGGCTTTTTATATGTTTTTTATATGTTTTAAGAATTTCAACAACTAAAAAAATCATAATTTTGAAATTTAAGGAAATGAGATCTCTCCTTTGTAGTGGTATTTAAAAAATTTACGTAAGTTAAAAATTATAATCTTTACCAATTAGTACTTATAAGAACATTTTATTGTAGCATAGCTCTGATGATGGCTTTGTAAAGCCGAAAGCGCTCAGCTAGGAATTGCCTAAAATATACACACTTCAAAAATACTTTTTTTGCATTTTCTTTCGACTTGTCATAAGTGTGTACAAAAAATATCAGTCTTTTGATCATTAAATTTTTTTTCATTAACGATACGTTACTCCCATGCTTAATACCTACAATAAAAGAATATTTTTGGATAGATACTTGGTAAAACCCAAAATATGGCAAGTTTTAATCAAATAAATCACTTTCAATCATGGTTTGTTATAACTATAGGCATTTATGTCTACTCTCAATCATATACTACATGCATTATGTAAATTTTGTGAATTATTAGAAAAAATGTACCTGGCTTAATAGTTTTATGAAAAACATTTTGAGGTAAAACGCCATCTTCCAAACTGAAGCAGGAAATAGCAATTTCAGCGGGATAATACCGATTACCACTGGCATGGTAACAGAAAGTATTGATATGGATTAAGAAGAACATTTCATCTCGGAGGCGACAATTTTCTTTGGCAAATTTCAAGGTGCAGTCGATGTCATCTTTCATTTTAGCAATATTATTTTCTTCAGCTTTTTGTCTCTTCTCTATTTCTTCAACGCATTGTCCATCTAAAATAAACATTAAGATAAATATGATTTAAAACAAATTAACGATAGTGCAGTTCAGTCAGGATCTGTACAAAAATAGCTTAGGTTGGTTTAAGTGCGTTGAGATTTAGAATAGATTTTTGTAGAAATATGTCCAGAAGGTCGTTTATAACCGGAATTTATTACAAAAATTACCGGAAAAACCTTTATTACAAACGGGAAAGTAAAAACTGGTTAAAGACGTCTATTTTTCAACCTTATATTTTAATTATAGATAGATAGATCTTTATTTAAATAGAAACCCTAATAAACTGTTACGATTTTAAATGTTATGGCGTATAGAACTGTAAATATTTTATGACTAATTCTTTTGTATTGATTCTCGTAATTTCTAGGTCAAAAATCTATCTGACATCCTTTGGGTCCCCTTCGCTAAAACAACAATCGAACTTTCTGGGGACGAGCCGATGAAAAACATACCAGTCGCTGCTCTGTCTACGTCGAGAACGGCATCGTATTTTCTACAACATTCTGTTTACCAGCTGGTTTCATATAAATAACGGAAGATTTTCATTGAGCAGTGAGTCAACAAGAATATCGCGATCTCGCGTTAAATTGTTCGAACGCAAATAAATTATTTGTAATTATTAAGTGTAAAATAAATTAGTATAAAATAAAGACTTTTGATAAATGATCGTGAGTTTTAATTAATTAGAATAAAGACAATAAATTAGAATAAAGAAAATATAAAGAAAGTACTATAAATAAATATACTATAAATTTTTGATATATTGTTTAAGTAACAGTTTGAAATTATTGAGATTAGTACATTTTTTTACAGATGTTGGTAACTGATTAAATTTAACAAAGCTTTTAAAAAAGAACGAATTCTTCATACTTTTATACATAGTTCTAGGTACATACATGTCATCTAAACCTCGGGTATTATAAGAATAAATACTTTTGTTGAAAGAAATGAATTCTTGAAAATATTCAGGTGTTAAGCCATTTACTATTTTGAAGATCAAAATCATGGTGAAATAAAACAGTCTATTTTCAACAGAGAACCAATTTAGAGTATTTAACATCGTCCCAATTGGGGTACGGCGATTTGTTTTAAGAATTATTCTCATTCTACGATTCTGTAATTTTGTAGCATGTTAAGTTTGTTAAGGTTAAATAAATATAAAATTGATGAGCAATAGTCAAAATGAGGTTGAATAATTGTGTTATATACTGTTATTTTTGTTTCCATTGATAAATTTTGAGATATTCTACTAAGAAAGTAAAGTTTTTTTGATATTTTTTTTATGAACGTACTTGAAGTGACTATAAATTCAGAATATTGTTAAGCTGGAATCCCAAATATTTAACTGTTGTGACAATTTCAATTTTTTCATTATTAATATTTAAATTTATGATTTCAGAATCAAGCAAGCTATATTTATGTTTGGTAGTGACAATCATTGCCTTTGTTTTTTTTTTCACATTCAACTTCAGTTTATTCATTTTTAAATATCTATTAACCATATCTAAAATAGTGTTCATTTTTTGAATAGCTAAATCAAAAATTTCATCACTACAACAGATTAGAGTATCATCGGCAAAAAGATTATTAAATTCACAAATTACAAAAATATCGATATCGTTAATGTACAGAATAAGAGGTACTAGAAGTACTAGAGGAATCCCTGTATTACTATCCATTTCAGATGACAATTTGTCTTTAAATCGAACTTTCTGTTTGCGATCTTATCGCGTAAATAATTTTCAATCCCCGCAATTACTGTACCTCCTATACCAAATTGTTTAAGTTTAGAAATTATTATTGTTCTGTCAATGGTTTCAAAAGCTCTTTTTAAATCAAGAAATACACCGACTACGTACTTATTTTTATCTAAATTACTCTTTATGTGACATAATGTAACTTATAACGCTGATTCACAAGAGAATTGTGTTCGAAAACCTGATTGATTGTTAATTAAAATTTTATTTTTAGTTACATGTTCTAATAATTGTTCATAAACAGCAATTTCTAATATTTTCTCTATTCTTCAGCTTTGATAGTGTTGGGTATTTTTGAATAGGGGTGTTTATTTTTAATACATCAGGAATTCTACCCGTAGTGAGAGATGTATTAATTAAATTTAACATAACGTGCCCAATGGTTTTAAAAATTTCCTTTACCATTCTGCAATTTAACGTTTCATGTAGTGAGAATTTATTATCTAAATTGCCAACAATTTTTTGCAAATCCTGCAGAGAAAGCGTTCCAAATTTTTCAAAATTTAAATATAGATTACTATTTACATTACACAATGTTTCAGAATTATCGATACTTTGAACAATACTTTCAACAAAATACTCATTAAAACTGCTAGCTATTTATACTCCGTTTGTTAACCGTTTTAGGCCAGTAGTAGTTTCAAAGATTACAGTGTTTGGCATTTCTCTGTTTTGGCATTTATATCATAAAGTATCATATCTACGACAAAAATGAATAGGTGCAATTAAAAAAATCCTCGGCGTAGAAATCAAAATTTACGAAATATATTGTAAAAATATTCTTCTGAAAAGTTGCTTATGGGAAATCAGAAAAGTTTTTGAATAATTAACTCTTTGAGGAACAAAAGTTTTAATGCAAAAATGCCCTAGTGGACCAACAACATTTTTATTCACAAATTGATAAAAAACTACACAAAGGGGTTAATTATCTACTATTCACACACAATCACATGTCTTTTGCAATTGTTATGTCTTTTGCCATTGATTATTGCCATTTTCACTTTCTGGAAATGGCCCTGCAATGTCCAAAGCTATTCTTTTAAACGGGCTTCCAACATTATATTGTCTCATAGGAGCTCTCCTTTTTCGATAAGGCCCGTTACTCGTGGCATAAATAGTACATTTCTTACACCAGTATTTTACATCGTCGGAAATGTTCATCCAATAAAACCGTTCCCGAATTCGCTGAAGGGTCTCCTTTACACCAAAATGCCCTCCTGATGGACTGTCGTGTAACTGACGAAGTACTTCGGCTATTCTGCTCTTTGGGATTACTAACTGTCTTCTCTTCTCTGAACCGTCATCATTTCCAGGACTTGTTTGTCATTTGTGCTCATAACTCAGCATAAAGACACTCTATCGTCGAGGGCAGACATCTCAGAAGTAATTTTAGGGATGTTAGCAGAAACTTTGCTTTCCAGAGAAGAAATCTCGTTAGAAACTTTGCTTTCTAAAGAAGCGATGTCGCCGGAAACTTTCGAAATATCGCCAGAAACTTTGTTCCCTAATGATGCGATCTCACCAGAAACTTTGGCAATCGACGAGATGACAGCAGCATGTTTGTCTTCAAATATACAAGTTTCCGGGTCCAAACCCTCTTCTTCTAAAGCGTTCTTTAGTCGTTGGACTAACTCCTTTTTTCCGGTAGAAGCATATCCTCTCCTTGAGAAGTCTTGAGAAATACATATATTATATGGGGTTGAATTATCATAGTCTTGAATAAAATCTTATCCTTCAGAAGAATATGTAAAGTTTTCAGGAGAGATAGATCTATGATTAGTTGACGATGTTGGAGGTATATAAGCAGAAGTACAATTTTCCGGTGTAGGAGCTCTAGTCATATCTGTGGTCACCAAATTTCCTTTACACTCGCCGTTGCAGTTTCAATCGCTTCTGGATCTTCATTTTCCTAATCGTCCACTATGGATTCAGAATCAGATAGTATTGTCTCTACATTTTTCATCTATATTATCCAGTTTCGCTATAATTTGTCCACCATAGTAATTATTATAGTATATAGTATATAGACCATAGTCATTATCCAGAGTAAAATATATATCGTCCTTTTTCGGTCTTAACATTTTCCTAAAATAAAATGAATTTTGTAAAATGTCATATGCGGAGCGGTGGTACGAATATTATACCACGAGAAAACTTTATGGATTTTCAATTCACACACAAATATTATTAATCAAGTTGATTATTACTTACTTAGCAACGTCAATACAAGTCTTGAACACAATTATTCTGTAAATACTTCAGTTTTTAGTTACTTATTAACCTAAAACAATCGACAAGCTTCAATACACGATGCGCTGACAATAAAATAAAGTTTGTGACTACAGAAAGCGACAAAATCTGTATTTAGGCATGCCCGTATGTTTGTCTGCTGTTAGAGCGGTAGAAAAATTGTACCAATACATTGTAAGCGACAACGTATTAAAAAGATGGTACATTTATAAAACCACCGCCGCTTGACAGAACCGAAAAAGGTGGTATATCATGTGTACCATGACGACTCAAATACGTCAAATTTGAAGATATCCACAATAATGAGTAAAAGTTCAACTTTCAAAAATTATATCAAAGTGGAAATCTAAACGTCAAAATATACGTATTTTCAACTGAAATTGTTGAAAATTGATAAAAAATCTTCCGGACGGAGCCGACCAAATAACTGAACAGTATTCCAAAATAGTTCTAACTAAGCAATACACTAATCTTGTTGAATTAATGGAGAAATACTTGCAATTCCTAGTAACGAACCCAATACGTTTAGATGCCTTTATTGAAATAGAGTTTATGTGGTCACAGAAAGTAAGGTTCTCATCGAAAATATCACCCAAATCGACTTTACGAGAAAAACTTATAAAACATTTTTTTACATTTAAGTGGAGTTTGTTCTGATTGCATCAATTTTGTAGTCTGTCTAAGTCAACTTGTAGCAAGGCTTGGTCTTTTAAACTGTCTATAACTTTCCAAAATTTCAAGTCTGCCAACATTAGACATTTGCTATTTAGGAAAGAGGAAGTGATGTCGTTAACGTGTAGCATTTGCAATTTCATTGATTTTTTGGTGTATCCCCTCGTATATGTTTGAAAAATCGAAGAGTGTTTTTAATGCATTTCAGTTTCCTATTCCTATTCGTACGTATTAAAATCCAAATAATACTTCGTTCTTTTCAGCGTCGCCAAGTAATAAAACTATTTTAGTTTAAACCAATTTGTTTATTTATT